CTTCTTAAGTTCCGGATTAATACCTGTAGCAAGCCAGGAAAAATATCTGTGGACGATTGATTGTAGATCTATACCTGTAACTAGCCAGGAAAGTTATCTACATGAAGAGATTGAAGATCAACACCTGTAACAGGCCAGGAAACCATCTTTCTTTCTCAGGTCAGAGATTAATACCTGAAACCAACCAGGACAACTATCTCCCCGACCACCCTTTCTTAAGTTCCAGATCAACACCTGTAACTAGCCAGGAAACATCTGTGGACGACTGATTATAGGTTAACACCTGAAACCAGACAGGAAAACCACCTATATGAATTGATTGTAGATCTATACCTGTAACTAGCCAGGAAAGTTATCTACATGAAGAGACTGAAGATCAACACCTGTAACAGGCCGGGAAACCATCTTTCTTTCTCAAGTCAGAGATTAATACCTGAAACCAGACAGGACAACTATCTACTTGACCATCATGAAGCAACCCTACACCGGTCCCTTCTCTTCCGAGATGCAGTTTTACACTGACTCATCATCAGGTAACCCTACACAGGTTCCTTCTTTCGACCTACCAAATTACAATTCAACAACATTTCCAGATGGCATCTATAAGCCCATCCTCCTATCCATCATCTCTCCAAATGGCATCTGTAATCCCATTCCCTACATCACATTGCTGATACCACGCTATGCGAGTGCAAATTTCTGGGCACTTTAGTGTTCAATCATCTTCCACCTTCGGATCACGAAAGGCACGCAAGCCAATCTACCTCCTCAGGTCTAAGAAGATTGAACAGGGGCAACTGTTGTACCCCAAAATTTTCCCTCCCATATTCCTCAAGGTTTGTCAAGAATAATCTTCAAATTACTCAAGATTGCTCAAGGATTGTACAGTCAGACCACCTCCTAAGGCAACTGAAATTAGGGTTTTGGTTCTTTCAAGGAATTTGAGGTTTTCAATGGTTCAATAAAGTCTCATAGGTCCATATACATTCTCAAGCACCTACATGCCAAGTTTCAAGACTCACAGTGCCAATTTGCATAGTCAAAAGCTCCATTTGATCCACAGTCAACTGCAAGGGCAAAATGGTCATTTTGAAGTCAAAAGTCAAATTTTTTGGTCAACATCTTGTTTTGAGTTCACAATCATCATTTGATCAAGTCTTGATCATGATTCCACAAGGATAGCTCAAAAATCATCAAGGTGCAAAAAGTTACTATTTTTGGACAGTAGAAAAGTCAACTGTATCTTGACCAGGGCATAACTTTTTCATGGTTTGTCAGAAAAATTCCATCCAATGCTCATTTTGAAGGGGATGACATTTCCTACAATCCATATTCACACTCCAAGTTCAAGAAATGCACTCACAAGAAGTTACCAATTTTTACATTATAGGTCAATTTCAAAAGTCAACAAAAGTGCACTTTGAGTCAAAGGCCATAACTTGATATTGGTAAATCCATATGACATGGGACTAAAGGCATTGGTTAGAGGACTTCAAGACCTTTCCAAAATGTCAAAGAACATGTTCATATGGTCAAAATTGAACAAGATGTGCATTGGAGAAGTTGGGAAATTTTTATGAATTTGCAAAAGTCAACTTTGCTCAAAACACCTTATTTTTGCTAATGGGCCTCAAATCTCTTCTTGAAACTTCATCCATGACTTATGCACGACCCATCAAGATTAATTGAATTTATTTTCTTATTTTTATTGATTAATTGGATATTTAATTAATATTAATTCATTTAATTAATTTAAATTGTAGGAAAATGCAAGATTTGATTTTTCAATCAATTTGTGAAGCAAATATGGTCAAGATATGATGGCAAATTCGTGCACAAAGTCAAAGATACAAAACATCCAAATTTGGCAACATTTTCCAATCATGAAAAATCAAAAAATATTTGATTTTCAATCAAAGATCTAATCATCATTGCAATGGATTCTTGCTCAAGTTTTTGACCTAATTCGTTTCCTCTATATATATGCAAGCAAATCCTAATCTCATGGACATGAACAAAGCTGCAGAAAACACCCTAGCATATTCAAGAAATTCCAAGAAAATTGAAAACTGGTTTTTGTATTCTAGGGCGATTTAAGAGTTTTTATTGATTCCAATACATTGCAGGAGATCCTAGGAAGTTTTTGCAATCAAATTTAGACCTTAAAGCTCAAGAAATCGTTGAAAACAGAACCACGGTTTGCACTTATTTTCCAAAATCGTATTGTTGAATTCATGCATAATTAACATGTTTTTGTGATTTTTTTTGCATTGCTAGAGGTCATACCAAGCTAATGGTATCGTTTAATTGAACTATAACTCACTGAATCACAAGATGCCATGAACGATTTCTAGGGTTCTTAAGCTTTGAAATTGGGGCTTTCTGAACCAAGCAAAATTAAGACTTGTGAGACATATGGTTGAGATCGTTAGATCAAGACGGATAAGACCCACCCATCGCGAAATATCTATGCTTGATGTAGCTCTAATCGCTATTTTTCCTCGTAGCATGTAGTGGGGGTTAAAAACCCCCGCTATCTAATATTGTTTATGCAGGTACAATGAGGAAGGCGATGATGTGTTAATACACCATTGGGTAATTTGAAAACACGCGCGTTTTTTGTGTTTTACAGCATATTTGTTAAATTCCCAATATAATAAATGCCTATTATCTAAAGAACAAAAAGGTGCAGGTGATGTAGTGGTTGAGCGTTTGTCCAAGGAACACTGGGACCTGGGTTCGAATCCCAGGTCCCCCAAACGTTTATTTGTTCTTTTTCCTCAGGCATTCTAGTGCAAAGCTTGCAAAGGTGGTACACCATACGCTTCCAATTCCCAGGCGCCAAGTGGCCACAAACTCAAATCCAATGGCCCTGAGTGGAAGACCATCATACTCCCAGTCAACACGCGCCATGGATGATCATCAAAGTCAAACAGGCTTAAGCATAATGGGCTTCAGAATTCCACATACACCTCCTAATTGGGCCAACACCCCCTGGGTTCATTCTTTCTTTTTTCTTTTATATCTTCCATTTAATTATTTTACTATTAATTATTATTATTATTATTTAACTAACCAAATTAATTTTTCATAATAAAATCAGAAAATTAAAAAATATATTATTTTTATTATTACTTATTAAAATTAATTTCACCCTTTTATTATTTTTGTAAATAAATATCATTAACTAATTTAGTTTAATTAGGATAATTCTAACTCTTTTTTGCAATAAATAAAATAAATTAGAATTAGGGTTCTTGACAACTTTTAATCATTTTGCCTTTTTTATTTCCTTAAAACATTAAAAAACCAAAAATATTTCTTTCTTTTAATTAATTAATTAGTCTAGGTTTAATTTAATTAAATGCAAAATAACCAAAACTTCTTTCTTTCTCAAAAAAGGGTCAAAACCCTAGGAACTCTCCGATTCAATTTTTTCTCGCACGTATGTTTTATTTTGTTCATATTTTTGATCATATTATTATGTAATTGTTCCGAGGATGTAATAGCTTTAATTAGGACTTTTTATCGCTTTTATTTATTTTTCGCAGTTTACTTTTCAAGGGTTTGTTTTTGGCGATGTAAATACCCGACGCCTTGTAATAGCTTAGTTTACTTTCCGCAATATTTAACTGCTAGATGTTTGCTAATTAGGCTATGCATGACAAGACTTCTCTTAAAATAAAATCAGTCGTAGCTCACCATAACATGTGCAAAGATAACATAATTGAAACTTGACACACTCGCACATGCCACTCCTAGGGTACGCCTCACTTGGTTGCCTCGACGTGGTCATTGAGTATAGGGTGTTTTAGAGGTCGCCCTCTTGTCTAAAGATCCAAGTTGCCTCGAAACGGTTGCCTCGGATAAAAACGATCTAAGACATTAGGGTTACCTCTAAGGCGTCCTACTATTGCTTTGGTGACCATACATGTCCCTATAATCGAATTGACCCGAAATTCCAACGACGGTGCTACCTACTTCTCAATAGTGGGATAGCACTGTCTAAAAGACATTTACACAGCTTAATTTCTTTTGAGTAGGTAGAGGTTCTTAGATACTTGCTCTTTCAAAACAAAAAATACTTTTCGCACCTACACTTTTCTGACAAAAGTTTTCAAACAAACACTTCATACACTATTGAGGACATATACAAGAGTTAAATTGAAGTTTTCAAACAAACTTTTTTCAAAACCCACAAACACAAGAAAAGCAAAAAACATTTTGAAAACATAGTGATCAAGTACCTAAGAGCCCATGGATAACCACAGATAGAAAGGGTGCTAACAACTTCCCTTTCTATAATCTACCTCCCGAACCGAGAAACATCTCGAAAAGGAATTTTGTTGTGCTTTTGTCCTTTCCTTGTTGGAGAAAATAAAAGACGGTGGTGACTCTTGCTTACCGCGACATTTCGCGAACCAGCATTCCAAAACAGTCAGTTCTATTTCCACCGATCACAATGATGCTGAAATAAACAGCGAAGAAGATGAGAAAACCTGTAAGGGTACCTGTTATGAGGTGCATGGAAATGATATGCGCATGATATGATTTCAAAGACTTTAGGGATTCAAATTCGTTAAACAAAAATGAAACACACTTTTATTAGATAAATTTTGAATTCAATTGTTCAACAAATGCCCTTAAGGCGTTACAAGAAAGGAAATACTAAAAAGTAAATAAAAACTGGAAATAATCAAAGGACGTCAGTGCTCCCATGGTCGTTTGCCTTTAGTGCTGACATAGTCGTTGATGATATGCTCATTCTCCAGCTGCCTTGTCAACTTTTGAATCTTCTGCTCTTGCTCGTGATACTTTTCTCTATAAGTATCCCGCTCCTCCCTTAGCTGCATCCAGGATCTCTTCGATGCCCCAATGTCAGTAGGCATGTAAGGGTGGAGAATGGTGGGAGGAACCCCTTCCTCATCAGTAACTTCAACAATGATAGGCAAGACGACTTCGTAGGGCATTCCAAGCTTTTGGGCACGGATACGAACCCATCAGAGATATGGCTCCATTGGTAGAGAAGTCTTCGCACCCAGCTCATGTGGATCAGATCTGTGAACTCTATCCCAAGCTCTTATGAATCTGCGGCGTTGCTCGTCACTATCCCCTTGGAAATCAAACACAATACTAGGCATCAATAACTCATGAGGTCCTTCCCTCCTAGCTCGCCCAAACTGACGCAAGGCCAAGCATGGATTATAAGTGATTACTTCATTGGTTCCTATCAGTGGAACATTGGGGTATTCCCCACAGCGATCAATAATAGCCACCTCGTCCATACCCTTAATGGTCCAAATGATGTCATTGTGAGAGAGAGACATAACCCTATAAGCCCAACCCATGCCTTCTTTGTTCTTCTGAACTGATTTGGGGAGGTGAGAAATAAACCACCTCGCCAACAATGGAGCACAGCACATCAAGGTTCCTCGCTTCCGAGCAGTACGGGCATAAAGCTGATGAAGAATGTCACCCAAGATAGTGGGTACAGGGTTACCAGACATAAAAATCTTTACCGCATTCACGTCAATGAAAGCATCAGAGTTAGGAAACAATACCAAACCATATATGAGAAGAGCCAGAATATCTTCGAACGCCTGAAAGTCTAGACTTTCCCAGAACTGATTAGCTTTACCAACCAAGAATTTAGTCAAGAAACCCTTTGCTCCACTTCTAGTCTCCCAATTAGACATCACTTCAGCCTTTGTCATATGGAGGGCTGAAGCAATCTCTTCTGGCCTAAGGATCTTTTCCCAACCTGTGAACAGGGTCTTCTCCAGAATAGAGATACCGAGCAGATCAGAGAACTCTTCCAAGGTAGGGACCAACTGGTAGTCCGGAAAAGTAAAGCAATGGTACAGTGGATCAAAGAACTGGACTAGGACACTCATCATCTGCTCGTCCAATTTGGAAGTGACCAAACCAAGGAGGTGCCCATGCCTTCTGATGAAGGAGGTAGTATCTGGCATCTTTGCAACCAATTCTTTAAGCAGAGTGGGAACTTGGACAAAGTTGATCCGGATGGTGTTTCTTCGCATGAGTGCCATGACCTACAAAACAGAACAAAGATGAATCCCTCCTGTCTTTGAAATAGGTTAGTCCAATGCAAGATGCATGCAATGTTATGATGTCATGATGTCATGATAGAAAACACACCACGAGTATCCACAAATAGCAAACATGGTAAAGGCACACAAGTCACACAGAAAGCCCTTAGATTTCAGGCTGGTAAGGAGTCTAGGTACTACCCTCTTTCAGTTCAGTTGGTTCAAACCTGTCCTAAAAATAGTAACCGGGTTCTAGAGGATCTCAATATCATTGACTACCCTCAATCGGTCATAATTCCAGTTTAGCAACCTTTTCTTACGGCCGAAATCATCACGAGAGTTTAGTCTCAATGAGTGTAGCATACTGCTACTGTTCTATGGCCAAGTTGGTCAAATTAAAGATTCTAAGGTCAGTTGGTGCTTAATGACCCCTTAGCAGACCCATATTCTCCTCGTTGCGCCACAAGGGATATCCGTACATACTAAAGTGCCACACCAACGTAGCTACTGCTTCAACCGTATCGTTCTACGTCGTACAGTTCCCTCACAGTTTATTGCTACTTACCTAAAGGGTATCCCTCAGATCCGGGTTAGGATCTATAGTAACTCCGATACAAGCCCACAAAGATAAATCATACAAATCAAGCAATTGAAAACATTATGAACTATTCCTAAGGTATACCCTACTTATTAAGCTTCCCCAGCAGAGTCGCCAGTTCTGTGATACGGTGGGAAAGAACTGACTGTTTTTTGGAATGCTGGTTTGCGTTTTGCGTTTGTATTTGCAAAATGTCGCGGTAAGCAAGAGTCTTCACCGACTTTTATTTTATCCAACAAGGAAAGGAAAAAAGCACAGAAAAATTCCCTTTTCGAGATATTTCTCGGGTTCGGGGGGTAGATTATAGAAAGGGAAGGTGTTAGCACCCTTTCTATCCGTGGTTATCCACGGGCTCTTAGGTACTTGCTCATATTGTTTTCAAAATTGCTTTCTTTGTGCTTGTGGGTTTGAAAAAGTTTTTGTTTTGAAACTTCGATTTAACTCTTGCTTCTGTCCTCAAGAGCGTATGAAGTGTTTTTGAAAACTTTGTTCGAAAAAGTGTAAGTGTGAAAAACATTTTGTTTTTGAAAGAGAAAGTACTTAAGAACCATCTACCTACTTGAAAAAGGAATCGTTCTATGTTATCTTCCTTTAGACAATGCTATCCTACTATTGATGAGTAGGTAGCATCATCGTTGGAGTTTGAGGGTAAATTCGAATTAGGGACTTACGGTCACCAAAGCAATGTTAGGACGCCTTAGCGGTAACCCTAATGTCTTAGATCATTTGTTTGAGACAATCATATTCGAGGCAACCATTTCGAGGCAACTATGATCTTTGGACAAGAGGACGACCTCTAAAGTGATCTATACTCAATGACCGTGTACGAAGGTAACCAAGTGGGGTGTACCCTAAGAGTGCGCATGTGCGAGTGTGTCATTTTCAGTTTATTTTTATCTTTATACATGTTAAGGGTGATCTAAGTTGATTTTAGGTTAAAACATTTAGTCTTGTCATGCAAACCTATTATCAAACATCTAACAGTTATAAGTTGCGGAAAATAAATTACGGAAATTTAACTAACTATTACAAGGCGTCGGGTATTTACATCGCCAAAGACAAACCCTTAAAGAATAACTAAAGCGATAAAAAATCATAAAAGTCCTATTAAACTATTACAAACCGGAATCAGATACATAAATGGATGAAAGGAAATAAATCGCGTGCGGAAAATTAAATCGAGCGCAAAGTTCTAGGGTTTTGACCCTTTTTGTTAAAGGAAACATTTTTTTTTTGTTTTTTATTTTAAGAAAGAAATAAATCTAAATTAATTACTAAATTAAATAAATTAATTAATTAATAAAAATAAATATTTTTGGGTTTTTGTTATTTTAAGAAATAAAAATAAAATAATCAAATGTTAGTAAAAACCTAATTAAGTCTAAGTTAATTTTAATTATTTACAAAAATATATTAAAGTTATTCTAATTAAACCTAAGTTAATTTAATTAGTATTTATTAAAAAAAATAAGATAAAGTTAAAAGTTTGATTTGATAAAGAAAATATTTTGTGATTTTGTTTTATAAAAAGAAAAGAATTTTTCAATTGCTTAGTAAGTAAGCAAATAATATAATAATTAATAAAAATAAAATAAATGAAATAGAAAGAGAGAAAGGGGGTATGGGCCTGTATTGGGTGGTTTGAGAAGAAATTTGAGGCCCAATAACACGCTGGCCTTGTTGACCTTCCTGGATTTGGTGTGTGCGCGTTGACTGGATCTATGATGGACCCTCACTCCTGGATCACCAGATTTGGCCTTGGGCCATCTGGCAGTTTGATATGTGAAGGTATATGGTGAGCTGCACACTTGGACTATGCATGTGATTACCTGAAGAAAAAATATATTGAGAAATTTGGAGGACCTGGGATTCGAACCCAGGTCCTGTAGACGAATGGATGTGTATGCTTGCCACTGGGACGCTTTGCTTCATTTGTTAATATGTTAAACAATAAAGACAATATGCCAAAGCAATGATTATTGGTCAGAAATAAAAAAAAAGCGCGCGCGATTTGAACACGCGAAAGGGAGAACGACACGACATCGTCCCTGTCGTTGGACTGTAGCTAAAACAAACCAAACCTATACCAACGGACAACAGTCCGTAGCTATAAGCCAAGCTATCTCCAAAACTTGCTACGAGCCACAAAAATGCATTTCAAGGGCATGGTCATGCTCGTCTCATCATCCTGGTCACAACCATGCCCTTCTTGATAGCCAATTTTTCCTGAAAGAGAAACACCAAAAAAAAACCACGAAACCCTAGCTATGGCATCTCACAGTATAGGTCACATAAACAAAATTGGATAATGCAAAAGGCTTAGAAACATTGTGAGGATCACGAATATGCAAGTAATTTGTACATAGGATGCAAGAACAATGATTTACGAATTCAAATACAGAGCTAGGTAACGTGATGCTTACAGCGTGTTTGGGCGTGTATGGAAGCCTGCTTTGGATTGGTTTCGCCTCAGTGAACGTCCAGGAATCGATTGGGATGCTTCTTGGCCTCTGAAAACTCCTCTAGGCACGATTTTGATCTCAAGCTTTTTTACCACTTTTTCAAGTTTTGTTCTTTCTATGCTTGCAGCCTCCAGCCCCTATTTCGTTTCTTGTGGCTTGCTTATGTACTATGGAATGCATTAGGTTAAGAATTATGGATTCAATCTCTCTAAATCAATGCACCCATATTTGATTTGATTCATTCTTTAAACCTTGCCAAATTTATCAAAAATCAATCTTTTTGCACATGATCTTGTGTGATACGAATTTGATGCTCTTAATGATGATGATCCAATCCTGAAATAGCCAAAAGATATCATGTAATCAAAGCTTTGGATTTTTTATGATTTAATTTGATTAAAAATGAATAAATTCAATAAAAAATAAAATTAAATAATAAAAATAAAATATGGGCTCATGGCTGAAGCTAGGACACGTGGACACTGATGCAAGCTCAAATCAAGTGGAAAAGAATGGGCCCATTTGACAAAATTTGATGTTTTGGGGATAGTTGACTTTTGGCAATTTTGCAAAAATGCCCAACTTCAACAATGCATAACTTCTTCCATTTTGAACTTTTAGAGGTGTTCTTAGACTTTTTAGAAATCTTGAGATGTCCTCTAACAAACCAGTTTGGTCTCATCTCATTTTGATATTCCATGCTCAAGTTATAAGCTTTGGCAAAAAAAGGTGTTTTTGTTGACTTTCAAAAATGACCTATAATGTCCAAATTTATAACTTCTTGTGAGTACATTTTTTGATTTTTGGGTATGAAGATGGATTGTAGGAAATTGCATCCTCTTCAAAATGAGATTTGGATGGGTCATTTCTCATAAAGTATGAGAAAGTTATGCTTGGTCAAAGTTGAGTTGAGTTTTCCTGTAAAACCCTAATTTAGCAACTTTTGAGTCTTGATGAATTTTGAGAAATCCTTGATGAATCATGATCAACCCTTGATAAAATGATGAAATTTCCTTCAAAATGAGAATTTTGACAAAAAACTTGAAGTTTGACTGTTTATAGGTCACAGTTGACTTTTGCCCTAACACAGTCGATTTTTGGATCCTTTGAGCAATTGACTGAGCAAACTTCATCTGCAAGGCTTGAAACTTGACATGGATGACCTTGAGAACATATTAGGATATTGTGGAGCACTTTGAGGTCATTTGGACTCAAGGATCTTGATGCGACACAAAACCCTAATTTGGGGTTGAATGCCTTAGGAGATAACTTGACTGTCCAACTCTTGAGCAATCTTGAGCCACTTGGAGATTTTTCTTGCAATGTTTTGAGAAATATGAGAGAGAAAATTTTGGGGTACAACACTATCATTAATCATATCTAGTGAAATTCATTAAATTCAAATCCTTCTTAACAGTTTGAGATATAGCTTTTGCTATCCTCTTTCAACTTTTAAATTCTAGCACCAATATGTCAAGCTAATAGTAACCATACATTAGAGCTATAACAAATGTAGAAAAGAGACAAACATAAGATAGTGGATTGAAAATATGGATGGACATACCTTCCATCATAGCAGTAAGAGTTGTGGTCTCTGAAGAAGTGATCACACTGCAATCATCAGCCATAGTCAAGTCCGCCAAAAGAAATGCCTTTTTGAGGGAATTATCTATCTCTTGTAAAAATATCTTATCAACTTCAAAGGCCTGAGGGAAATTGACATACTCAAAAAAAGAATTTTATAACATTTTTTCTTATATAAGCTGCTACTTCAGGTCCTCTATGACCATCAAACACCCGAGACATTTGCCAAATCTCAATTAGATTTAGAATGAGATTAACTCAAAACAAAGGACCTAGGTGAAAAAGATAATTACCCCGTAAACAACACTTGGTTTAGGAAACTTATATAGCTATCCTAGATGAGAAGTCAAATCATTTATACTTATATGTTCATTTTGCATCTATCTACGCGGCTCAATGTCAGAAAAACTACCGGAATGAATGCAAGGGACAAATTGTAGAACTGCAACTTCTGAGATTATGTCTGCAGTCTTAACATCCTACACCAAAAATATTGAAAGCAAATCAGAAAATGAGAATCAATGTATTAGTAGACTAAATGATATTGTGTAAATTAGCCAATACACAGAAAAAACAATGCTCAATCTACCACGTGAGAGAGAAAAAAAACTGTCAGAAAAACTATCAAAGAAAAATATATCATTTGAAATAGAAAGCCAAACACAAACCAACAATACTTTTTGACTTCAAAGCAACTTTGGCTGCAATTGAATGGAAATCTTAATTATTAAGAAATCAAAGAATCAAACGATAACTAACCTATATACATATGAGAAAAGTCTTCAAAACTACCTTCAAGATAAATGGCCCGGTTTGCTTGTGCATCAGTTAATGTTATCATCCTTTAGACATGAAAAAAATTTATTTTGTTAGCAATTGGAAGCCTAATGTCATTGGTGCAAACAATGGGTGCACTTTTAATAGTGAAGTGCAGATTAACTCCAACGAAATATTATCACTTGCATGAGAAACTATCAAATTGCTAAAATCTCAACCAATAACAATTATAACTCTGCACTTTACCCTTTAAAGTACACCCTTCATTATAAAGGAATCAATTAAAAAAAATAAAATAGCTCATAATTTAAATTGATCGAAATAAAATAGAGAAATTAAGAATTTACATGTTCGGGTTGAAGAAAAACTACATCATCCAGCATAATCACAGTCGCAGAATCATCAAGCATCTTTGCAGTCTTAACCGCTTGATCATAATCCGAGCAATACTCAGAACATATTCTAACCAACTCAGAAATCGTTATGCAACTTTTCGCAGAACCTCTCAACTCGATTTCACTGATTCCATCTGCGCCACTTTTAACAACTTCTTCACATCACTGACGCTAACACATACCATTTTCGTCCTCTCTGGTAGAGGGTTTAAATTGATGGAAGAAAGAAAAAAAAAGCAAAAGCATAGAATGAGAATGAAATTGAAAGAACAACATCAAAAAAGTCAGGTACGATACGACATTAAAGAAAATATCTTATATGTATAAGAAGCAAGAAAATTAAACCAAATAAATCAATTTACTTACATTCCTTCGTTATAAGAAAATTGGGTTTTAGGGTTTGCTTGAGAAAATTGGATTTCAGCACCGACATAGATCGAAGTAACCAAATTGTTGGTTTACCCACTCGAATCTCGATTCCATACTTTCTGAAAAAACAACACTAAAAAAGTCATATACGAAAAAGAGGAAGGAAGAAGAGGGAAAGGAAGAAGAAGAGGAGAGTTCGTGAGAGAGAGAGAAATGACGAGAGAGATTTTGGCACGGGTGAAAGATTAATGGGTGTTGAAATCGTTTTAAATGTGAAATATGGAGATTCAAGACCAATTTACAATTTTGTAACAGCTATGTATGTTTTGTGAAAAATGGGAAGTGGAAATTGAATTTTGGGAAAACAAATTGAGCCATTTGGAAAAGCAAATTGTCTGAGCTATTAGGAAGTCATGTGGCAAATTATAAGGAAACATGAGTCAATTTTCTTATATGATAGATGTTATTATTTCAAATATATCTCTATTTTTTCACATTTTTATGTTTTTAACGATTTCCAAATTAAAGCAAAACACATTTAAGGATAAAATTAGAAAGAGGGTAAGACTTAAATGTATTTAGCCATTTTTCTTAGGGGTGGCAAAACGGGCCGCCGCCCTGTCTCGTTCTTCCGTAAGCCCGCTAAAAAAAGAGTAGGGCGGGAAAACCCGCCAAATAGAAATGGGCATAAATATCTAGCTCGCCAAGGTGGCGGGTTGGCGGGCGGCGGATTTTCCCGCTTACTTTATTTATTTATTTATTTTTATTTTTTAATATATTAAAAAGTTTTTTTTTACATTTCAATTAGAATTTTTTGCTTATTTTTTAGAACAATTTTTTATAAGGCATCTTTTAAACAAAATTTACTCAAAAAAATATTCGATATATATTCACAAATAAATATATAAAATAAAACCATAAAAAATTGGACCTACTAGAATTAACTAAAAAATGCGGGTTTAAGATGGAACAAACTGAACGGATAGGCGCGGCGAGTTTTGGTGGGCGGAGGATTTTGGCGGGGTGGGCTTTGGAGGGCAGAGGTCTTTAGCAGGGCGGACTTTGGTGGACGGCGGGTCCAAAATCCCAACCCAACACGACATTTTTTTACGGGTGCACGGGCAGGTCAGGCCACGACCCGTTTTTCCACCCCTAATTTTTCTTAAAAGGTGAGCTTTTTTATAAAATTGCTTATATATGAGATCGGATAGAGTGTATATATATATATATATATATATATATATATATATATATATATATATATATATATATATATATATATATATATATATATATATATATATATATATATATATATATATATATATATATATATATATATATATATATATATATATATATATATATATATATATATATATATATATATATATATATAATCTTGAATTGTATTTAGTGGAAGAGAAGATCAAAATTGTTATATCTTGGAATTCAAGCCAAGATGAAAAGATTGTTCAAAGTTGTATTCATAATTTGTATTTTTTTGCACCAAGTGTGTGGTGAAATCATCTGTAGGGAAAACAATTATACTTTTCATAGATGTTTTCAAATAGGAAGTGTTGTTCTTTATGTTTGTTGGAAAACTCTTTTGAATCGGGAAGATTCATAGTCCACCATAAGTTTGGTGCTTGTGAAATCAAGAACGTGGCGTGCTTCTTTATTCTGTTAGAAAATCTCTCACTAGATGTATGGCACTAGATATACCCTTGGTTGATAAGAGGAACTAGTAAAATTATTTGTGTCATTTACTTTTATGCATTTTAATTTTTCTCTTAACATCATTCTAAACAAAATGCAATATATCACTTGTTTCCAGAAAAGTAAAAATAAAATGAACTTGCATAAAATACAAGAAAATCCAGTAAGTCTAATTCACCCCCCCCCCCCCCCCCCCCCTCTTAGATTGCACTATATTCTTACACCTCATGTTAATAATCACGTAACATTTGTAAGGGTTTACTTTGATCCAACTTCTGATTTTGCCTCTTGAACCCCCATGGAGCACTTGGCAGGGTTCAAACGGATGTTGTATCTTCTAACTGACTCTAAGATATGACTTTTAAATCTTTATAATTGCTTCCTTCTTGACGGGGTTTTATAATCATATCAATGATGTATACCTTTAAATTACGCCTTACTTGGTCAGAGAATATCCATTATTCTTTGACAAGTAGCGCACACATTCTTCAATCTGAATGACATGACATTGTAATAATAACTACCATGGTTGGACATTATAATCGTCTCCAACGCGTCCAAAGGATCCAATTTTATTTGGTTATAACTGAAATAAACGTCCATGAAGCTCAAGGTATTATAGCCTGAGGACACATCAATCAGTGTGTCAATGTTGCATAATGAATGAGTCTTTAGGGAACACGATGTTTAGATCAGTAAAATCGACCCACGTCTTCTATTTATTTGATGATTTCCGAACTAAGACTGGGTTAGCCAACCAAGTCAGATATTTGACTTCAGTTATGAAGGCTACAATCTTTAACTTCTCAAATTCCTCATCGACCACCACTTGCTTCTCTTCACAAACTTTACGCTTTCTTTGAACTAGCAGTTTCACAATGGAATCAATGGCGAGACAACAACAAACAACCATGGCATCTATACCTGACATGTTTGCAGGGGCCAAAGCAAATAAAATGTTTCTACTTAGAAGGACATTCAACTCTTCCTCTTCAACTTTGGTTAAGGAGATGCCCAACTTGGACCTCTTATAAATCTTCTATTTGCATCAATTTTTTATTCTCGGGCTCCATCATGGGATCTAAATTCACACAATTCATTCCTTGCACTTCTGGTTATAGAATAGGGTTGTGATCATTTGTGCCCTATTTATTATGAGGCTTCCCTTATAACGCTCATGAGCAATCTCTTAATCACCTTGGACTTATCCAACCACCTGTTAGGTAGCTGATACTTCATGTTATGTTACAAGGTTGATAAAGAGGCTCCTAAAAGGTTGATGGGATATCCTATTGATGATGTTGTATGAAGAAAGGGGCGTCTACCATAAGATACTTGATCTTCTTTGCATTATCGTTCATCCCAAACACCATATCAAGAGTTGTGTGGCCCTTCACATGCACTTACTCACTAGAGAGCTTAACCAACGAACCTTAAAGCGCTAGGAGGTCATCAGGATCTAACATGAGACCCATAAATGCATTCCAGAATATGACATCAATTGAGCTCCCTGAGTCAATTAGTACTCGCTTTATATCCCAATCGTTACTCTGCACAGTTATGACCATGAAGTCATTGTCATGAGGATGGATTTTGGTGACGTCCTTGTGGGAAAAGGTGATCTTAGATTTTGACTTCCTTCCTAAATTGAGTTTAAGGATGGCGATCGAACCTTTCACCTCCAGGACTTGCAAAGAGTATCTTCTGCGGGAGGAGTTAGACTCTACACCTCCAAAAAAAAAAACCTTGCTATGGTGTAAATGGATGTCGCCAGTTTGGAAATTGTTACAGTGCCTCCTATTATCACCATGTTAATGAGGAAAACATATCCAACTTATGAAGAGAGAGAGAGAGAGAGAGAGAGAGAGAGAGAGAGAGAGAAAGAGACGTGGGATTATGGAATACTAGTTCTTTTTTAAATTATGGGGGAGACAATTTTCTTGTTCACGTAGAGATTGTAAGAGACTATATATATATATATATATATATATATATATATATATATATATATATATATATATATATATATATATATATATATATATATATATATATATATATATATATATATATATATATATATATATATATATATAGAGAGAGAGAGACTATCAGACCGCTATCATATGAACACCTCATGAGTCGAGTGTAATAAATGAAATAGATCTTGAATACTAGCAGCTTCCTTTATGGCCAAATAAAATTATCTTTGTCCGTATTTAAATTTTTATTTATGCTTTTAATTTTTTTTTGAAAGAATGTAATTATATATCAATTTAACATGTCTAAATAATATACGAAGATTGTCTTTTTTTTTTTTTCAATATTAAAATAGTTCTCACATATCACTTTAAAATCTCTTTTATAATTAAAGATGACAATGAAAATTCGTAGAGACGGATACTAGTCTTCCATTATATGTCTCGTTTAATAAATATGATATCTGTATCCGTTCTATACCCGTGCGTGTATTCGTGGATTTTAAGATATCCGCAGATATTTACAAATATCTATAGATACTATTATTTAAATAAAAAAATTAAATATTTTATTTTATTTTTTTTATTTTTTTATTTTTAAAAAAAAAATTTTTTTTCAATTTAACACATAATAATAATAATAATAATAATAATAATAATAATAATAATAATAATAATAATAATAAGTCACATTCATTTTATTTTTTATTTTTTCAAATAATTATACTCGATTCAACAAAATAATAATAATAATAATAATAGATCAAACAAGTAATTTTGCTAATTATTAACGAATATCCGCGGGTATTGTCTATATTTATTCGTACCCGTGAGTAAATGAATAATTAAATATCTATTTATTTTACCTGTGGATATTCATTAAACCATCATATTCGTACTCGTGACGGATTTTATCCGCGGATATACACAAATACGGGTTTTTTTGTCATTCCTAGTCATAAGACATTTTATTATAACAATAAAAACATATTTCTTATTTTATAAATTAGTGAGATACCCTTGTGCTTTGTATTACGCGCATTTGGTTCCAAAATATAATAAAAATGAAAAAGAAAGAAAATTAATATTGATTAATCAAACGAGTTTATTATTTTTAAAAGAAATAATTAATTTGTGCCTATAATTTTTTTATATTAGAAATGTTTTAATTAATAATATATTTTTTCGTGTATATAAATATTATTTTTATTTAAGTATTATTTAAAAAAATATGAAAAAAAATATTTATGAACTGGATACAAACAATATTGATTGGAATTGTCTTAAATTCATAAGATTTGTGATGTTTAGAAAAGACATGTTAACATTGGATAAAGGGAGAAGGTGTACGTCTAGAGATTATTAAGAAGACTAATTTTATGGGAGATGTGAATGTCAATTGCAGTATTGATAAAAAATAGCGAGTCTATTTAAATTTGAATATGTAAATGACAATTTTATGAAAGATGAAGTTGAATTGAAATTTGAATGAAAGTAAAAAATAGTGAACGAAAAGCAACAGAAGTGGATTTATTTAAATGTCATCTTAAACAATAGTGGGTTTATTCAATGGTAAGATGTTTGAATTTGTGAATTGAAATGAATTTGAATGATGCACTGCAAGCATTCTACCATTAATTTTTCTTTTGAGTTGAAATTGAATGAAAGTTATTCATTCAATGATAGAAAAAGGAATTGATTGGAAGGAAGTGTTAGAGTTATATAAATATGTGATGAGTGAATTGTTTTAATTATAGGTTGTTTCATTGTTGATTTGTATTTGGAAAATAGACGACAATAGATAAAAATTACTTAAATAGATAAGAACATTTGTATTACTCATAGAACCATGTAAGCAGCCAAAAGACATTACAAAATAACATTGTTTCAATGACATTTAGTCATTGTTATCAAGATGTTGGGATTCATCCTTACATAGAAGCTGATAATGTTGCTCAAAAAAGTAGTTGCATAACATGGTGATCTGATAATGGTCACTCTTTTTTGAAGAGCTCGACTTTCGTCGTTGAATATTTCGGAGTTACGAAATCAGTTTCATCAGCCTCTTCAAACAAGATTGTATTAGCTTCCCTCTTATTGGGCTCCAGTTTTATTGAGCGGAAGTAGTTGGCTGGGCCAGCATGGTCATTTATGGATCAACGATATGTTACATTTAAAGAGACATCAATTTGTAGAACACATAGATGAAGGAAATGCATCAATATCAAACATTCATATTTGTGAGAAGGCAAATAGTGAATGACAATGCTTGCTTTCTGGTTTTCTTGCCGATTACAGCATGAAACTCTCTGCAATAACATAAAAAGCTTTGGCATAATTTGTACATCTCATTTCTATAACTTTTAGTGTGTAATGGCCTAATTATGTCACTGATTCTAGAAATTTGTGAGAAGGCAAGTAGTGAATGACAATGACCTCTGCACTCTAACAAAAAATCCAGTTAATATAATATACTGTCTAAGCATCACTGTTAGAGCATGTCTAACTGTACAACAAATCAATTAACAGAGAGCAGAATTGCAGTTAAATCAAAATAAGATTAAAAAAAAATCTGTTTCTCCCGCAATACAACCGTTACATAATAAAAAAATACAAAAATACAAAGCAATCATGAAGTAGTAATAGTTAAATGATTAGGACTTAGAACATCTATCTTTAAACTGTAGATTCTGAATCCTCTCCAACTCATATTTCCGTTTCCATTCTGCCGCCTCTGCTTGAGCAAAAGCTTTCCCTTTAGCAACTTTTCTAAGAGCCTTTCTGATCTTACCTGATCAGAATTGGACCGTCACAGCTGATTCGAACTGGATTTGAAAGAGATGGGGGTACCTACAAGACACTCCGATGATAAAGTGAGAGACGGAATGAGCAGGTGAATTGTATATAGGTGCGTGATAAATGAATACTTTACCCTCTTGAAATAGAGGGCATTTATAGCCCCCAGCGCTGGGCCAAGGTCCCTTTATTGGGCCGACCAAAACTGACCCAACAAAGGGACTGCCAGGTTCTACGTGAGTAGTGAGGACCTGCACGTGGTCCCCTTCCTGGATGATGCTCTACGAAGAATAAGGAAGAACGAAGACGCGATCTTCCCGGAGCTCTAAGAACTCCAAAGCATCCGGAGCAATTGAGTCTGCCCTACGGGAAGGATGCTCGAGCAAGGCTCGAGTTGGGGTGTCCTTGGTCGGGGACGCCTCTCGTTGCGGACAGCGGCGGGCATAGCCGTTGTGGCCCGTGACTGGGTATGCTCGGGGGATCTGGTTCCCGCATAGCTCGAGGCACGGTTTGGATCTGGGCCTT